TTGCTGGCAGCATCCTGGTTACATTGCAGTTTGGAAGATGCATACACAAGCAAATCATACAATGTTCATGGACATGTGTCCAGTTACATGCCAACATATGGGTGAGTATAGTATTGTCACTCCTGTACATTTCCAAAAATAATCAAAGCTCCGTGAAGTTTTTGAAGCAGAACGTTTCTCACCAGATCAGACACTCCCACCTTGGCCTGGTCTGTTACAACTTCGTTACAGCCAAGAACCTGTGCCATGAATGCTTGCACTGACGAGACCGTTACCGAGATGATGTTTCTTACTTCCTGATGCTTCCAGTTCCTGTAAAAATTGCCCTGGTCTTTTGGATAACATTGCTTATTAAAAGTTTAGTCAGAAATGGAGGTGATTGCTGTGAAGCTCAGGGGTTAGATAGCTGCAGAATAAGTGGTTTGTTTGAAGTCACAGAAAAAACAGTTTGTTTGAAGTCACAGAGCAGTGGAGCTCTGACAGCAGCGGTGACTCCAGGTGCTGCACGGGAGCTTGTGCTTTCCCAAGAAGTTATTTGAAGCACACTGCCAAGTGAAAAGCATCTGGTGTTTTGTGCTCAGGAGGAAATGCCATTTTATGGGCACAGGCTTCCTCAAAAGAAACAACAAACTGAAAAATCTGTGGGCTCACAGCTGCATCCTGGAACATTGGGAAACGTGAACAGGTGATAGTTCTGCTTTATAATGATTGTGCAAGAGGGGCAAGCACTCTGGGTTTTAAAAACACCATTTTACAGCATTACCTTTTTGTAACTGTAGATACTGTTCCAAAAGAGTTTTATCTAAAACCAGCCTTTGTAATTGTTTTTATTTCAACACAGGTTGCACTGCCAATTGTAGGGACTCAGTATAGGGCTGGCCTCACTTTTCCCTTGAGCATGAATTCTTGGTGGCTTTTATTGTTCTCCTTATGGTTACTTTTTCTTAAAAACCTGGAAACTAGACATAAAAAACAATTATGTAAGCTGTTGTATATTCTGTGTTTGCTCTCTGAGAATTATGAGGAGAGGTTTTCTATTGAGATGTATAGATATATGTTTATATGTGTACATGTTAGGTATTTAGCTTATTTTTTTTAATAATACAAAGTATTTTCCATAATTTCTTTGTGTAAATCTTTGGATGACACATGGGAAATCCAGTAAAATGTATTCCTTGAAGTGTCATTTTTTTCCTCTATTTGTAGTTTTCATATGTGCACCTTTTCACTTCACCACTTAGTTTTAGCTGCTTATTTTCTATGATTGCAGTAAGATAAAAAGATTGATGCTGTTGGTACAGACTGGCACATTTAAAAATGATCCTTTTAAATCTAATAAAACAACTAGTGAGAAAGCAATAAACACCGGGAGGGAAGCTGCCACTTCAGCTCATGCCAGTTGGACTTTATGCTGTGTCATTAAGAGTTGCTTAGTAGGTAATCTGTAGTGCCTGTTTTATTGGATTAGCAAAAACAAGAACAGTGTTAACCCTTGTACATAAAGTGAAAATTGCCCTATAAACTTTTAATCAAAAGTCTAGTGCCAAATAACATGACTAAATTTGGAAAGCCTGTAGAAATACTGCAGAAGATAATGACAGGTGGGATTGCTTGCTGTAAAAATGCTAAAAGCCATCTAAAAAGGAGAAAATCGGAAATTTTCTCAAATTTTAGGTCTCTCTAATGTATGTATGTTACCAGAAAAAAGGTAAATGTTGGCATGGGGACTTGACCTGGCACTGTACAGTTAGATAAGAATGAATTAGTATATGAATATGAACTCTGTCCTCATAAGTGCTGAGTGCTGACTTAAGTCTGCTTTTCCTTGAGATCTGTGCACAGCTCTCCCTGGTTTTACTTGAATAGCTGTTCTGAATTCTTCTCTATCAGGCCTGCTTTTAAAAATGGATTTATTGGTTTGGTGTATATGTATGCATGGATATATGTGCTTTTTCTCTAGCAGCCTGTCATCTTCTGCCACCCCAGCCACCCTCCCCATCTCCAAGGCAAGCACTAGCCTGTGGGGTTTGGGTGATGGAGACAGCTTCTAGCAGAGGCTGACTGTGCTCTCACTCCTTTGTGTGCCCAGAGTATCTCCCTCAAACGCCCCTGGGTTACACGATGGCCTCCCTGTCATGGTGTGCCAGCCTGTGGTGTCTTGTCTGGGCAAAGCTGCCAATCTCCCTTCTGCAGTGTGCTCATCTCTGCACCTGAGCTTTTGTGCTTGCACCTGAGCTGCTGCAGCAGGCTGATGAGCCAGGGCAGCGTGGCTTCTTTCCCACTGGCAAAACAGGGCTTTTCACTGAGTGAGTCAAGCAAGAACAGCTCACGTGGCTGCTGCTACAAAGCTGGCACATGGCAGAGCCCCAGTTCACATCTCCTGGTCCATGGTTCAACTAATAAATTATTTCTTGGTGTGCAAAAGGAAAAAGCTTTTGCTATCAGCTAGACATGCCAGTCTGTCCTGAGTGACCCCACAGCCTGTTTTATTCTCAAGACTGCTCTCCACAGTCTATCCGTGCATCACTTCACCTTCTCCTCAGGTGGTGCTGGGTCTGCAGCCAGGGCAGCTCTGTGCACAAGAGGCAGAGGAAGGGCTGTCTTCTTCAGAGAAAAGTCAGGTCTCTCAAATGTGGTAATTGTACTGTAGCCTAATTAGATGTAGATTAATCTGTCCTTCCAATGCTTATAATGGGACAGCAAATACTGAGTTTTCATGAACATGGGCTACTGGTTCACCAAAGGATACTTTCATGGAGAGCTGCCCTGATGTCAAATAAGCATCTGAGATGTGTATTTGAGGGAAGGACCCTTTCACATCACATTCTTTGAACCGGTGACCTTCTAGAGCTGGTTCAGTCACTGTAGACAGGTGCAAGTCATTACATTGATGAAAAGAAAAACCAGATATGTTTTATTGTCAATTTCCCCCAAGCTATTTTGGCATAAGAGCAAACATTCACTAGGAACTTCTTCAAGCTCTAATTAGCTGCACATGAGTAATAAGGGCTCTTATGGTAAGTATTAACATAGAGGAGTACCTAAGGGCTCTCAGGCTCTTGCCAGCTTAGTCAGTGTGGTCACACCTCCCTCTTTGAGCAGCTGCAGCCTGGAGGCAGGAATCAGTGATTTAAAATATTTAGCAGCCTTTGCTGCTCTACAGCTATGTGGACTCAAGTGTTGTTGTGGATGGGCTGGGAATGCAATTGGAAATGTAAAAGGATAGCCCAAGGAATTGTTCCCAGAGGAGACAGTTATGAGTGCCTGTGGGCTTTTTGCATATACCATAGAAATTTGGATAGAGGGAAGGAAAGGATTTTTTTATGTAAAGATGAAACTCAGCAGTAGTGACTGCACTGCCCAAATTGCTTCCTTGGTTAATTAGTGGGAAATGGTGAAGCAAGAGCCCAGCCAAGACTGGGAGTCATGACCATAGTCTTTGTGTGGGCAGCAGCTCTCCCTTCTCCCCTCAGTCCTCCAAGCAGACTCAGCTTTTCAGTAGCACTCTGTCTGTGATGGACACCCATTAGGCTTTGTTTGAAAACTAGAGCTCCTGTGTCTTGGGTAAATGGCATTACACACCATACCCTGCACTGCACAAGTGGTTAAACCTTCATTTCATAGAAGCATGGATAATGCTGAGTTGGAAAGGACTCATCAGGATCATCAACATTCAACTCTCCTCTCTGCACAGGACACCCCACGAGTTACATCATGTGTCTGAGAGCATTGTTCAAATAATTCTTGAACTCTGTCAAGCTTAGGGCTGTGACCACTTCCCTGGAGAGTCTGTGTCAGTTTCCCACCACCCCCTGGGTGAAACACCTTTTCCTGATATCTAACCTAAACTGACTCAGCCTCATTTCTTCAAGTCATGTCACTGGTCACCAGAAAGAAGAAATCAGTGCCTGCCCCTCCGCTTGACCTTCTGAGGATGGTGGAGATGCACAACCAGGCTTTCCCCATCCCACGTGCAGAGTCCAGCACTTGCCCTTGCTCTGCTTCATACAATTGGTGATTGCCCATCTGTCTGGTGTGTTGAGATCTCTGCAAGACCTCTCTGCCCTCAAGAGAGTTAACATTGGCAAACTTAGTAGTCTGAGTATTCTTTTGACACCTAAGTCATTAGGATGTTGAAGAGAACTGGAACCCTGCAGAACTGCACTAATAACTGGACAGTGTTGGAATTCACACCCTATTTCCCTCACTCTTGAGGCTCCATTGCTCCTAGAGTAACTCCAGCTTTCCCCACATCCCAGCAGATGTGCTGCCTTCTCCATATCAGGACTTCTGTGACTTAGGTAGGAGGGAAGGCAGTGTGAGCTCCTCCTTTCTCAGCTGGCTGCTGCTTTCCAAGGCTCTCATAGGAGCACAAGGCTTTTTGATTCAGCTCACTCACCTTCAAGAGCAGAGTTGTGCTTGTCTGAGTGCAACCCCCTTGCTTCCAAACAGACAAGTGACCCTGGAGGAGGCAGCTGCATTCCAGGCTCCCCAGACAGCATCTCTGCTTGCAGGAGCACCACAGGGTGACAAAAAGGTGGGTGGATTCTACCTCTGCATCTCTGACACTTCTGTGGCCTCTGTCGCACTTGGCTGAAGGTAGACAGAGGTTAAAAATCTGCCAAAGAAGATGCCAGCCAATGGCTCAAGTGGTCTGTAATCTTGAGTACTTTGCTGAGTCTTTAGCCATGCTGGAGGGCTTTTTGTTTTGTTTTCTGGGGTTTTGTTTTGGTTTTGTTGTTGTTGGGTTTTGGTTTTTTTTTGGGGGGCGGGTGTTGTGGGGTTTTTTTGTTTGTCTATTTTTTTGTTTGTCTGTTCTTGGGTTTGTTTTTTTAACGTCTTTGTTAGATGGAAAATTTACATGGGCAGAATTAAACTCATGGATACAAGTAGTGAGACCTCACCACAGGCAAAGCATAACTGATGCCAGATGCTGTTTGTCGTGGTCATACTGGCTGACATTTCCCAAAAAAAAGTGTAATACACAGCTTACACAGCTTTCTAGTTCCCATCATGGACTTTGTGGCAACCACTGGAGCACAAATGCTGCTGCAAATAGTCCAGTCCTCTTAAATGTCTTCATTAATGTGTGTTTGAGGGAAGGACCCTTTCAAGAACATTCCCTCCTTACTTGGAGATACTTAAAACCCCTCTGACGGTCTTGGGTAACCATCTCTCAGTGGCCCTGCTAGAGCAGGGGGTTTGACAAGATGACCTCCAGACATCTCCTACAACCTCAGCCACTGCATGACTGGGATTTGGGGAACTGTCTTGTCCTTGGTACCCCACCTGCTGTTTTACTGGCACTCATGGACTTGCATTTTACCACAGGAAGCAAGAAACTGCTAGCCCCACCAGGAACTCTGTGTGAGAAGGCTTTGTTTCAGCAGGATGCCTCCAGTAAACCTGTACCTTATGTTCCCTAATTATTTAGCTACAAACATGAATTTGCTGACCCTTCCCTGAGCCAGCCCATCGTTCTCCTTTCCAGCAGCTTTGGTTTTGCCTATCCAAAGCATTACTTAAGCTGTGAAGTCATTACTGCCTCAAGAATACCACATTCATGGTACCACCAGCAGCATTTATTTGATGTTGTACACGAGTCCAGCACCCTTAAGCTTTAGGATATGTCTGTGTGCCTCCAGCCCCTCCTTCCTGATCCTCACAAGCTGCACTTCAGAGCAGACTAACCATGAGGCACTGGCGTGAGGGGGCAGGTTTAAAGGAGCTGATGTTAGTTACTGGAGCCTTCCTGACCCTACAGAGATGCTGGCAGAAGGAATGCCCTTTTTCTGTGGTGTTATTTTTCCCAACAAAAAGCAAGAAATTTCTAGGATAACTCTTTAGAACAGATGTTATCAAATAGGTATACAGGGATGTAAAGGGGTAACTTAAACAATGTGTTTATTTAAAAAGGAATCATGTAAATTTTGTGTTGGGGTTGTAAAATATACAAACTTGGAGAAATAAATACACAAAAAGGAGCAGGAAATCTGGTGGCCACACTCGTAATGGGGGGAACCATTGTCAAACTGCCCCTGTTTCGGAGCTCCCCACTGTGTCCTGATGTTGCCACTTCTTTACTCCTGTAGATGCATTGCCTATGGATCACCCCAAGCATTCATCTGATGCTGGAGCTGTGCTTCTCCTCTTGAGAGTCACTTGCTGCATTCTAGTACCAGCTGACACCTTACAGCACCTCCAAAATTACCTTGGCCTTTTCCCAGTCTTCTCCCTGAGGGTTTTGTGTGAGTTTTATTGCTCATCACTGCCCTCCCAGTGCCCTCGTGCCATGCCTCTGTCAGGACTCCCTCCTCTTCACAGCCTTTTCCTCTCCACTGCCACCTCTGTGAGGATTAGAGAGCCCTTAACACAAAACACTTCACCATGCTCCATCAGGTAGAAAAGTGGTCACTAAGTCTTGGCCACAGGATAAAGAAACCTCCTTGAGTTTACAGCCCTTACAGCAATGGGGTTGTGTATGTCAAGGCCCAGCTCTTCCCCAGCTTGTGTTAAAACCACAGGGACTGATGGATCTCAAATAACATTCTCCTCTTTCACCAAGGGCAGGGTGCAGAACAGAGATGCTTGGGGCAGTTTTGCCAGCAGGAACACAGTGTGGGAGAACATGGATGGGTGTTTAACATGGAGCTGTCCTCCCAGGTGATGGGCTGATGGAGACTCTTTGGAGTGCCAAGAAGAGCTGCCTGTGCAGCCTGCTCTCCTCCAGCATCCCAGAGGATGCTGCTGGGGAGCACACACCTGCTTGGCCACAGCACACAGCTGCACAGGGGGGTCTTGTCTGACAGCACAGGGGAGGTGGAGGAGAGTGTTATTCTTGTTGGCTAGAACAAACATCGTTTTTACATATCCCAGACAGGAACAACTATCCCCATGGAGTGCTCGAGCCGCTGGAATTCACCAGCTGTTTTCTTTGGACACTGGTGTGTTGTATCTGGACAGAAACTGAGTCATGCTTTTGGACTAAGTACATCTGCTAGTCTGCTGTGCCAAGGAAACTTTGCCCACTACTAGGACCTCTTCCTGTTTTATAAACAGCAAGGCTGTTTGCCCTGGTTTGTGACCCTCTGGAAGAGAGAATGAAGGCGGCTCAGTCAGGGTCATAGGGAGATCTGGGGCAGGGCAACTTCTCAGGCTCCAACCTGATGGTTTCATCTCTGTCCCTCCCTTCTGGCAGTCCTCACCAGTTCTGAGCAGCAGAATACAATGCACAGCATAAAATCCCAGCACATGAGGCAAGTGATAGGCCTCACCTTAGGAGCTGTCTCAGAGAGAGAATACCCCAAATAACAGGTGCTGTACAGAGTGCCCAGGAGGTGCACATGGTGGCTGCACACACAACCCAGGGCTGCTTTCACAGAGACTCAGCTGTGGAGCAGTTCTTGGGAGCAGCCAGCAGCTTTGAACCCTTCTGGGATGTCACTGTCTAGTTTGGAAATGATTTTGTAAATGGGTTTCTTCCAGGAGGGGTCGGCATCCTTGCCTGCCCTGACGGCACTGAAGAACTCCTGCAGTGTCAGGCTGGCCACCTCCAGGAACCGCCCTGGCACCTGCAGCAAGACAGCCATCAGCCAGTGACACCCCCGTGTCATGGCTCCTCCTTACCCCCACAAACGCCAGCACCCCCTTTCCCCAGCCCCCCTCCTCACCTCGAAGTCATTCCCCTTGTTGTAGTGCATGTTGAGGGCACGGAAGAGCTCCGAGTCCCGGGAGACCTGGAGAGTACAAGCATCCACAACTCCCTCCAGCAGGGCCTGCCGCGCAAACTTCTCCACCTGGATGTAGTAAAACTCACGGAAGTTGCTGAACCACTTGATGAGCTGGGAGGTGATGCAGCGGCTGAACTGAGGGGGGGAGCCAGAGGATGGTGTTAGGCCAGCTTGGATCCTCCCTACCCATGAGCTCCTGCAAACCCAGCCAGGCACTGCTGGACTGGCCCAAACCCTGCCCCAAGCTGGGGCAATGACATCAGCGTGTCCGAGGTGTTTTCTACACTGAGATTCCAGTGCCCTGCAGTGAGAAGGCACATTCATGAGGTGGTTTAATCTGAATATCTCAATTGCACAGAGTGAGGAGCTGACAGCCCATGTCTGCCACCACCCTGTGCACCTGCTCCTGGGCAGCCCATGCTGAAATGGGTGCTGTTCCTCATGTCCTGCCAGCAAGGCAGGGGGTCACAAGAGCAGCCCTTTCCTCATGGTTCCCCAGGGAGGCAGGCTAGGTGCCACACCACACCAGAGCCGCGCCCAGCACCAGTTCTGGCTGCTGCTCCTTTACCTGCACATCAAGGAAGTAGGTCTTCAGCAAAGTGGAGCTGGGGTAGCGGGTGAAGAAAAACATCAGCTTGGCCTTCTTCAGGTGCCCGGGGGTCAGTGCCTCCTGCATCTGCCGTGGGGTCAAGGAAAGCCTACACGTAGCAAACCCTGAGCTCGGCATGTCCCTGAGCACCACCCCTGACACACGCACGCCCACTGCCCTCCATAGCCCCCCATGGCCTGTCAGGGGGGCAGAAGGGGTTCATCCTTGGCTGGACAGCCACTGGTTTTTCCCTTGAGAATCCCTGAGGAAGCTAATGCTCCTCAGAGCACTTCACAGTCTTGTGAGAACCAGAATTTCCATGAGACTCCTGTTCATGGTTTAGGATTACAGGATCCCTAGTAAGGCCCAAAAGGAGGTTTAGTAGCTCCTGTCTTGTACCCACAGCTATGCTACAGCATCTGGCCAACCCTGAGGAGTGGCAGTGCCCCTCCATGGCTCAGGACTCCTTTCCTGCCCACACCTGTTTAGCCCTCTGTGGAGGAGCAGGGACCTTGGCCTTGCAGAGACCAGCAGGGGCAGTGCCCAGCTCCAGAGGACAAGGGGAGCACATTCCCCAGGGACCTCTAGCTGTCCCCAAAGGATATGTGGGTCGAGGCAAAGGGTGCTCCATCACTTGCAGCTGGCAGCTCACCGTGGCCATCCCTGCCAGCTGGCAGTAGTGCCAGGCTCTCCATGCTGGCAGGGCCCAGGGGCAGGGGATGGTGCTGCTGCTGTCTCACAATCGATGACCTCAGTTTAACAGTTCCCCAGGGCAACTTGAGGGGCTCTGGACAACCCCTCTCCAGAGCAGATGGGCTCTCAGGAGAGTCGCTGCCCCAGAGGCTATGCTGGCCATAGCCCAACAGCTGGCTCAGCAGCTGGCTGTGCTGGACAGGGGTGGCTGAGCCCAGTGAATAACCCATGCTGGGTACCCGAGAGGATTTTCTGACCCCTTTTGAGTTGAAGGAGGCAGCATAAGAACCCAGGCTCTTCCCCAAAACTCCTGGCAGGACCTCAGCCTGGGGTGAGCCCAGGGAGCCAGGTGCATTCATAGGAGATGGCTTACCAAGTGGCTTTCTGCCTTTCCCACCAGCAGAATACTCTCTCCTGGCATCTGGCCCCAGCATCGGAAGGCTGTGGTGCTGCTTCTGGATGTGGCTGTCTGCCTTTGGCCAGACTGTCTTCAGGACAGAGTCCACTACCTGGGATGTCACCACAGACAGCTCATGCTTCAGTGCCTGTGAGAGTACCCTCACTGCCAAGGGCAGGCCACCCGTGTCACCTCTGTCCTCCACCTCCTCCAGCCCACACACCTCCAGGACACTCCTTCTGAGAGGCACTTTGCGTGGGTTGCTGGTGGAAGTGGCCCTGTCCTTGTTCAGCCTGTCTTCAGGCTTTCCAGGCAGTGGCTGCACTTTCTCAGAATCTTCCTGTGTTTGGGCAGCATCCTCAGAGTCACAGACTTGGTAGAACTTCTCCTGAAGCCACCTCAGCTGCTGCTCTAAAAAGCAGAGCTGCTCCTTCAGCTGCTGGCAGCCCTTGGCATGGGAGCTGCCTCCTGTGGGAGCCACTCTTCCAGCTGCCCCCGTGCCCTGCTGGGGCACCCTTGGCTTCCTCTTGCTCTCCTGGGACATCTCACCACCTCTTTCCCTCTCCTGCCTAAAAGCTGCCTCCAGGCTTGAGTCAAATGCCTGCGGGGTTGGTGGGAGGCTCATGCCCTGGATGATGCTCTCCACCCTGGCCCGCTTGGCTCGTACGTGCTGGTCACAGAGCTGCTCCCGTGGGTGCTGGCTGGAGAGCTGGTCCCCATCCCCAGCACAGGGCACAGGAGCTGGGGCACGGGGCCTGGGGAAAGCCAGGGCTTGTGCTTCTTCTCCAGGACAGGCACCACATTTGCAGTCATGAGGCAAGGCCACTGCCTGTGAGGAAGGGAAAAGAATGGTGGGATCCAGGTTCCTGCCAACCATTGTGTGGCTGAGGAGCTGTGGTATCAGGGACGCACTGGGGGAAGGCAAGAGAGAGTCAGTCTGGAAACAGGGCTCCAATTTCAGCCCCTGGCCATGCCCTGGAGTGGCACAGTCTCTATCCTGATCAAAGCCAGTCCTGCTGTCCATCATATCTTCTTCCTGCCTGGACAGACTGGCGGGCTTCCCAGGTGTTTGATGTTTCAGCCTGCTAGTGCTGTGGAACTGGGGAAAGAGCAAGAAACAGGACCTCATACAGCAGTTTTCCAAGCACAGGGCCAGAGATGTTTTTCTCCCAGATTTCCATGGCATCCCTGCTCTGCTGCAAAAACTATTTCACCAGGGAATGACCCAGGCAGAAACCTCCAAGCACTCCAAAACCTGTAAGCAGACTGTCAGATGTCACATGACAGCAGCAATGCCCTTGGCACCACCACACCTCCCACCTCCCAGCCAGGCATTCATCGTGCCCAGAGTACATTTCACCTGCTTTGGGCCCAGCAGTGCCTGGCAGCACAAACTTCCCACATCACCAGCTGCATCTGCACCACAGGCATTTGGGGAAGCTGCCCTCTGGGCTTGTGGACTCTGCTGTGAGGGCAGGGAGCACCCGGCAGAGCTCTCTGCCACGTACCCCTGGGCAAAGGGTGGGCTGGGGTGCTCCTGGGTGTTGGCAGAGCACAGAGCAGCAGCTGCATCCCTGCTGAAGCTGTTCACACAGCCAGCCAGGCCATGGGTGCTGCCGGCTCCTGCTGGCCCCAGCAGCTGCCAGCAGAGCCCCAGGGCACGGGGAGGGGTGGCAGGACCTGGGGCTGGGCCAGCACACACGGGCTGGTGCAGAAGGGCACAGAGAGGGTAAAGTGCAATGTGACTTGCTGTGAGCAGGATACATCGAGATGCTCAGGCTAACTCAACATGGGCTTCCTAAGTGCTTGGCAAAACACTGAATAAAAGAAATGAGGATGGGGATTATCAGGGGAGAGAAAAAACACTGAGCCAGCAGCCCCAGGCTTAAAATTGCCATGCTGGCTCCAAGCAGGGATTCACAGCCTCGGCTCATTCCCCGTTTGCGCAGCTTTGAAAAGAAGGTGTAAAACATTGTATCCTGGGCAATTATACAGTAACCCTCCCTGTGGGATGTTTCTTCCTTATTCACATTAATTGCACCACCAAATTAGGACAGCTCTTTTCTGGATATATTTAAAGTCTGAGATTCTTTTGCTATTCCCACAAATCATTTTCAACACCATCAGTCTCCTGTCCCTGGAACTGCTCTGTGCCAAGTCCTCAAGGCAGTGTAGAAAATGGGTTTCTTCTCAGGGGTTTTTAGCAGGTTGCCTTTCTTCAAACACCCTGAATTCCAGGCAGGTGCCTGGGAGAGCTCTACCTTTTGCAGAGCAATAGTCCTGACAAACCAAGTATTTTCTGGGTTATCTGACACCACATGTTGAGCTGTGTTTCATTTTCCTAAGAGTCTGCAGTAGGGTCTTTCAAGCTGCTCAGTTTATCCACAGCCAGCACAAGGCTGGGGTGCCAGCAGCTCCCAACATCCTGCCTTGCCCTTGTGTTACAAGCTTCAGCATTGCCTGCAGCTGCCTCTCAGCCTGCCATCTGCACCCAACAAAGTCACAAACACATTGTGACTTTGCAAATGTGACAACAAACACATTGCAGTCACAGATTCCATCCAACCTTAATCCTTTCCTCAATGGTGTGGTTCTGTAGCCTCACTTGTTTTTCTACAGAACCACCTTCTTTTGACACCTGCTCACAGTTTCTCTCATCTGCTGCGCTCAACAGCAAGGTCAGGAGCTTACCTGTCCCCTGGGCTGAGGTTTCCCAGCCCCTGGAACCTGGGTGATCCACCCCTTTTAAGCAGATCAGCTCGGAGCTAAACCTCCACCTGCGTAAGGTTTCCAGCCCCACGGTCTTTCTTCTGGAGATGTGGAGGGAGGGAGCAGAACCTCCGGTCCCGGGCTGTGGGCGGCCCTGGCTCCGCTCACAGCATCCCCGGCTCCGCAGGACCAGGAGCTGCTGCCCTGAGCAAACTCCCGCTGCCGATGCAGCTCTTTCCGCACGGAGTTAACAGGTGCGTGCTGTGGTGCCCACTCTGGCTGGCAGCTGTCACTAGTGCCACCCTCCAGAACACTAAAAAGCAGCCGAGTCTCCTCCTACCTGCAGGAAAAGACAGGAACGAGCCGAAGATGCCCAGAAGCCGAGGGCAGTGTGCCTTCTCCAGAGCTGAGCCAGCCCTCACGGGCTCCCTGGGCGCTCCTCGGTGCCACAGCCGTGCAGGGAGCAGCGTGCTGTCCGAGCACTCTGTGCCGAGCCGTGCCGTGCCGTGCCGAGCCGAGCCAAGCCAAGCCGAGCCCAGCCGAGCCCAGCCGAGCCGTGCCGTGCCAAGCCAAGCCGAGCCGAGCCGAGCCGAGCCGAGCCGTGCCGTGCCGTGCCGTGCCGTGCCGAGCCAAGCCAAGCCGAGCCGAGCCAGCCCCGGGAGCGCGGTGCCGGTCCTCCGGCCGCGCTCAGGCCTTTAAAGAGGGAGTGGGGAGGCCGAGGCAGCCAACCAGCTGGGAACGACTCCTGAATATGCAGATGGACGCCCGGCGGGCCAGGCCCCGCGCCCGCCGCCTTCCCTGCCGCCCCTCAGGCCCGGCCTGGCTGCCCGGGTGGGCAGGCCCCGAGGAGCAGTTCCCCTGGAATTTGGCCGGAATCCCCGCTCAGGACCCAGGATGGTGAAATGTTGGCAAAGACGCCAGGCTGGCAAGCAGTGCCACAGCAAGGAAGGAGCTGGCCAGATCCCACCAGCTCCCATCTTCCATGGGAAGCGGCCAGGCATTTCCCACATCCCGCACCGTGGGGACACGGAGGCAATTTAGCTGTCCTGGAGCTCTGCAGCATAGGACGTGGCCAAGAAACGGGACAACACAGGAAAAGCAGCAGCAGAGGGTCCCTGGCGTGTCACAGGGTGCTTTACAGACAGCACCAGCATGGCTCCCAGCGGAGCACACGCTGAGCCCAGCCCAGCACAAACCGCCTGCCCCGCAGCACGCCTGGGGCTCAGACACTGCTCCTCACACAGGAGCTGTGGGTGCGTGGGCAAAGCCTGGCCAGGCATGCCCTCCTGGGCTTCACCTGCTTTGCTTCCGCACGCTAACCGGGCACGGCAATGCCTGCCGTGTTCACTGGGCAGGCAGGAGGCTCTGGCTAAAGGCAGCTGACATCAGGTGGGCAACACTGTTCAAGGATATTAGCCTTCAAAAGACAGGTCACAGAGAAATCCCTGGCACTGAGCCTTTCTGGCTCAGTCACCTTTTATTGCAGCAGCCAGCTCATCCTCAAAGCCTCAGAGGCTATCCCCTGTTGATATTTATTCAACCTCTTTCCTTTGAAAATGATCTCATATTTTGAAGCTTGCAGTTAACCATTCATATATTATTGAGCAGTGACTAAATTAAGCACATGTGCATAACCCAGACTTGGCTCCTTGAGAGATGCCTGGCTGTCAGACAGCCCTTTATAACTATCCCAGACTGATTCTCAGAATCTGTAAATAGCTTCCTTGGGTTTTCTTCCACCTGTGGTTCCCTGCATGGAAGCAGGCAGAAAACAGAAGCCAGCTTGGGAATTCTCAAATGTTTTCAACATACAGAGCACACCTGGGGGACAGGGCTCACTTGAGGACTCGTTTTGCCGTTTGGCATGGCGAGATGTCCTCACTGCCCGTTTCTATCCGTGCAGCATCCCGCGGGGCCATGCCTGCGGCAATGTCATCCCATGTCAGCCACGGCTAGCCACGGTGAGCAGGGAAAACACGGCCACAGCTGCCCTGCAGCGACCCAGAGCTGCTTCAAAGAAGAGCGTCGTGAGTCAGCACTCTTCGTAATGCCTGGGGTTATTTATTACACATACACACATGCCGTTACATGTAATAGCATCTATATATATATATAGATACGTGTTTATATAAGCATACGTAATACGCAGCTATTTTACATGTATGTGATCTATAAGTAGTTGTTATACAGGATGTGTTCACACCTGTATCGTTACACGTACGGTGCCACACAGCAGCACTGCGAGCAGGCCGCGGCCCCGCCCGCCATGGTCCCGCCCGCCTGCTCCCCCCGCCCTGCGGCTTGGTCCGGCCCCCCGCGCTTCCGCCTCGCGCCGGGCCTGCTTCCGGTGTCCGCCCTGCGGCCCCTCCCGCCGCCGCCGCCGCCG